TACAAATGTTAGGACAGCCAACAACTTTCATAATCCAATAGGAAAATGAGGACTTTTTAGGGAGTTTGGATAAAAAATATATATATATCTGTAAGGATGTAACAATATTTCACATTTAGATCTGTCGAGTATTTCTCATATAGATCTGTCGAGTATTTCTCATATAGATCTGTCGAGTATTTCAAATTTAGATCTGTCGAGTATTTCAAATTTAGATCTGTCGAGTATTTCACATTTAGATCTGTTGAGTACATCTCATGGGCAGCCATATTGTTCTTCAAATCAGTTTTAAAACACGCAAACTATATGGTTAATGGGGAATCTACATACGAAATTTGAGGAAGATCTTTCAAGCATTATTTGAGACCAAACTAGAACTGTAAGCCAAAGGCTAACTAATACCCCCCGCTCCTATATAAACCAGAACTGTAAGGAATAGGCTAACTAAGGCAAAGCATCGCAAATTAAAGCAATCCATAGTCTCCCACCAGTAATGATTTCTTTATTCACCAAGCTGTACACTTATTGAAGTATATAGGTAACTGACATACTGCCTGTACTCCCTCCCAATGCCAAAACATACTTGCTTACCAAATGTTGTTAGCCCAGATGAACCAGTTTTACTGAAGTCGTCTTAGTAGTTAAGTAAGGAAGAGTTGTCAGGACAAAGATTTTTAACAAAGGGCCATAACTTCGGACAAAAGGGCCAGAATGACAAAATAATACATAGATGCACAACTTCAGAAGGAGTTGTCCGGACAAACATTTTCTATGGACAGATAGACAGACAGACAGACAGCAACAGACAGACAGCAACAGGCGGACGGACGAACAGACAAGCTGATTCCAGTATACTCCCCCCCCCCCCACCTTCATTGCGAGGGTATAAAAAGCTGTCAAAATCTAAGATGGCCACCTGGCAGCCATCTTGTTCTTAATGATCAGTCTCAAAATAAAGTACCAAAAGTAAAGTGTAGTCACACATGTATAGTAGCTACTGGTACACATAGCTCACTATATCATATGTTATTTGTTTATACAGCACATGTATTCAATTCTGACAGCAAAAAGACAGTTTGCAGTAAATAATATTGTTGTATCTGTATTGTAGATGATATCTATATATATGTGAGTCATTTCAACCAGGTAAGAATCTATCAAGATATGACAGGTGTCCCTACTTGTTAGTACACGCCCAGAACACACTGTGACGGTGCCGACCCTCCTACAGGCAAATAAAATTATATATATATATAATTATACTTCGTGGTTTATTTATCTGCAGGATAAAATCTTCCTTTTTTATGATCATTCAAGCATGACAGACACATACCATATTTCACTGAATAAGCTCCCTGGATGGGAAAATTAGAATGGTTGCCGACCTTACCATATTCTTAAAGAATAGCCGTCAAAAACTTTTTAAATATACGTTAGTAAATTACGATGAAGTGATGGGATTCTCAGACCAGAAAAAATGGAGAGGGGCACTTTAAAGTGATTGGGACCCTCACACCAGAAAAATGGAGAAGGGCACTTAAAAGTGATTGGACCCTCACACCAGAAAAATGGAGAGGGGCACTTAAAAGTGATTAGGACCCTCGCACCAGAAAACTGGAGAGGGGGCACTTAAAAGTGATTTGGACCCTCACACCAGAAAATGTGATTGGGACCCTCACACCAGAAAAATGGAGAGGGGCACTTTAAAGTGATTAGGACCCTCGCACCAGAAAAATGGAGAGGGGGCACTTAAAAGTGATTTGGCTCTCACACCAGAAAATGTGATTGGGACCCTCACACCAGAAAAATGGAGAGGGGGCACTTAAAGGTGATTGGGACCCTCACAACAGAAAAATGGAGAGGGGCACTTGAAAGTGATTGGGACCCTCACACCAGAAAAATGGAGAGGGGGCACTTGAAAGTGATTTGGACCCTCACACCAGAAAAATGTAGAGGGGGCACTTGAAAGTGATTTGGACCCTCACACCAGAAAAATGGAGAGGGGGCACTTAAAAGTGATTGGGACCCTCACACCAGAAAAATGGAGAGGGGCACTTAAAAGTGATTGGGACCTTCACACCAGAAAAATGGAGAGGGGCACTTAAAAGTGATTGGGACCCTCACACCAGAAAAATGGAGAAGGGGCGCTTAAAAGTGAGTCGGACCTTCACACCAGAAAAATGGAGAGGGGCACTTTTAAAGTTATTGGGACCCTCACACCAGAAAAATGGAGAAGGGGCGCTTAAAAGTGAGTCGGACCTTCACACAAGAAACATGGAGAGGGGCACTTTTAAAGTTATTGGGACCCTCGCACCAGAAAAATGGAGAGGGGAACTTAAAAGTGATTGGGACCCTCACACCAGAAAAATGGAGAGGGGCACTTAAAAGTGATTTGGACCCTCACACCAGAAAAATGGAGAGGGGCACTTAAAAGTGATTGGGACCCTCACACCAGAAAAATGGAGAGGGG